ACTCACCTCAGCTTTACAGAGCTTTGTAGTGAGTTTCTGCTCATTGTTTAATGTCTGGGCCACGACTTTACTGCTCTCCTTCTCCATATCATGGTTTTGGGCCGCAGGCGGTTTCAGATACAACACTCTAAACAGCCGCTGTCCTTGACCTGCTCGGCCGCAGACAGACGCAGTCCGGCACAGGCTGGGTAGCATAGTGGAGCATTTAGCGGCTATAGCTGCTGCTGAGCAGGCAGTGGACAGTGGCTTTCTAGAGCATCTTCTCTGACAAAAGCTGCTTCCAGCTGTGGCCCAAAACTACACTAAGAGAGTCGAGAGTGACCCAAACAATGAGCTGAAACTCCCCATAAAGCTGAGGGGAGCTGCAGGTTCAGCTGTAAACCCAAAAATAATGAGGAGAAAGATACTAAAATGCAGAGCTGGGCGATCATTTTCACTGCAAATGACCACTTTCATGTTACACGCCATCGTTGCACCCATTTTTCATACCCTTCTACAAACTAAAACTCTCACTGAAAGTGACTGAAGATGCATTACAAGCACGACCCGAACTACACCGCTCAGAGTACAGGTGCACTCATAGTGAGAGGCCATACATAATGCATCCTCTCTGGCCTTGATCGCCCAGTTGCCATGGCAACCCCATTAGTTTTCATCCTTTCACCTGAATCTCTGAGTTTGTTTCTCAAACCTGTTTTCCACCTAAAAAGAAATCTCAGTTCTCAGCCTCTGGAGAAGTCGGTATCTCACAGAGCTTACTGAAGACAAAAAGATCAAGACATAAGAGAAGCACAAAGAAAACCACTACTAACATGTGCTTGTGTACACAACCTCTGGCGTAAAGTAACTACAAACAATGTAAACTGACAAAGAAAGTCAAGATAACAAAGATACATACACTGGCTGTCAACATAACATGTGCTTGTGTACACAACCTCTGACGTAAAGTGACTACAAACAATGTAAACTGACAAGGAGAGTCAAGATAACAAAGATACATACAATGACTGCAAAGATACAGAAAAAGGTTACAAAAGACAAAATGGACCATAGAGACTAAATGAACACAAAGAGGCTCAAACAACAAAACCAACCATAAAGAGACATAACATGACTACAAATGACACCATTTGTGGTCATTTTGTGTCTTTAAGTCTTCCCTGCATGGACGGATTATGAGATGATAGGGGCCCTGGGCACAGATGTGTACAAGCCCCCCCCCCCACCATAAAGCCTAAAATAAAGCCTCAGTCTCACAGAGACAAAATGAAAACAGTCAACACAGTGATGGCCATTTTGTCTCTAGTTACACATTTTGTCTCTCTGTGATTGTTTTTGGTCATTTAGCATCTTTTTGTAGTAATTTTGTGTATTGCAGCATTGTTTTGACCCTTCTTGTTTATATCTATCATCATTTTGCATGTCTAAGTGGTTTGTGCCTTGTTGTTCTGAGTCTTTAAGGTCATTCTGTGTGTAATTTTTTGCAGTTTTGTGTGTCTTTGTAGTTATTTGGTGTCCCTTACCCCTCCTACATAGAGGGGTAAGAGATTTTTACTTGTTTATGCCCAGGGGACATTCTCTCACAACCCGTCCATGGATGAGACACATTCAGAGAACCCCTGCTCTCAGTGACTGAGTCACAAAACCCATAAAGCTTCATGTCCAGGTGAATACAGGCTCCTTTCCCTGTCCTGTTAAACTGAACAATGACTTGGTCTAAAATTAGCCCAGCTCTGTATCTTGGCATTAGCTTCCTGTGAAAAGGCAGAAAAGTGTGTCTTTGTGCTTTCTCTGTGCACTGAGCGACTCATCACACTTCCCCTGACCTTCGTCTCCACAAGGTGAGCGTTGATGATCTGTCTGAAGTGATGCCCCCCAGTCACCATGACATGAGATTATATTTCACAGGCTGCTGTCTTTTCTGTGGTTGATTACTCAGCGATTCCTCTACTGAGATAGAAACAGAGCAAGTTCAATACGTGCTTGTCAGAGAACATCTACCCGAGAACCACATCACTGACGTGAGGTTTAATGTTTCCCAGAGCTTTCTGATGATAGTTCTCATCAGATTTTTTTTCTCCTATCTTTTAATTAGCCAGTCCTATTGTGGCTCCACACAGCCAAGGGCCACTTAAGCTGTTTTTTTTACTGCCAGCCTGAAAGCCATTCTTCCAAAACACAATGCACACTGCAACGTGCACTGCCTAACTACTTAGATATCAGGAAAATAGCAAATGTCCTCCAAGCTAAACAAAAGCAATAATGACCCTGTCCAGCAGAAATACGGCCACCATGGCGTCACTTTTCAGCCCCTTTTGTTCTCTTAGTTGTCGCCAGCATTCCAAAGCCACGCCAATGTTAATTCTGGTTTTACGTCTTGCAGCATCCAACTTATTTGTAATTATAACTTTCTTGAATATGGTGTTTCTCGTCCAGATCCATGGCCCCGAACTGTAGTTGGGGACCTCTGGTTCACGGCTAAACTGCTTCAGCCGTGGCTCATAGCTGGTAATTTCACAAGCTACCCAGCACTATCTAAAGTACTTTAAATCTAGAACCTGCTCACAGATGTAATGTTAAATTTTTTTAAATCTCAGTAATTTCCTCAAACAGCTAGGCACTGTAGTTTTCTTGCAAATGTTACTGAAACAGGAGGAAATAGTTCATTTGTTGGGGACTATTTTATGTGGCGGATGATTCCACATTTGTTCTTCAGTGAGTATTTGTAGAAGCAGGATGGTGTATGTGGGACTTAGTCTGGACAACAAAGGCATTCTGCTGCACAGAAGATGAACATGGATCAGGCTTGGACCAGTACGTTATTAGGAGACAATGTTGGTTTCATGGGACTTGAGTGAAAACGTTTAGCATATCGCCAAGGTTGTTGCAGTCCGTTGGCTGTCATTACACCCTTTACCACACCATATCATGTAGCTGCAGTGCATTCTGGTCTTTTGAGGTTTTCTATGATGATTTCTCTCTGTATGACTATTAAACATGCATAAAGAAAACTGCTCTAGTTGTATTTAACAGGCAAACTGTTGTTCGTGCTGTTGCTGCAAACATAAAACTCCTCACTGTGTAGCTGAGGATGAGAAACCCAGCAGTGTTTGGAACAGCAGATGTTTGAGCTGTGATCAACAACATCATGTGTCACAGAAATCAGCAGCAGACTGACAAAAATAAAACTGGTGTTTACACGTCTGTATGGGGTATGTGTTGCTATGGTAACAGACGTGGTTTCTCTGTGGAAACCAAGATGGAGAACAGGGATTCATCTTTCAAATCTTAGACCATCTTTGCAGTGAGGCAATTCAAAGACCAAAGCCACGACATCAAATCCATTTTTTGTGCAGAGTTCACGGCTGGTGTGTTGTTGAAGAATTTATTAGTGGGAGATTTGATCTAGTCTTTTCCACAGGATTTCTTTGTTTATAATGATTATTAGGCTCCCCATTAGCTCAGCTAATGGGGTCTCAGTGTAGCCCATTTTGACACAGTCCCACACACACTGTCCTGCTGGCATAAATAATCACTGGAGACCAAATATGGGTTCATCTACAACTGAAACTCATCCCCAACAAATGCACCGTTTCCTCCTGTTTGAGTTGGCGAGATGTTATTTCTGTTCCCTTCCGACAGGAGCTTCTGCTGTCCTGTGTTGAAGCATCAAAGGTAAAACCTCTTTACTTGTAAAATACATTTTACATGATACAAAAAGATTATGCTAATTTAACTTTTTCTTTTATGTATTTTAAAGTAGTGCTGTTTATGTAAACAGACTTTTCATATAATCCTATAGCTTTATGGTAAAAAAGCGTTTAAATACAAATCTTTTTGAGACAAGGCAACTCAAACCTGAACTACTACTATTAGTACTACAGAGTTTGAGTTCATGATCACAGAAAACTGCAAATATTCGTATTTAAAAAGTGGGTACTAGTGAGTTTTTGCCTAAAAATTAATCAAAATTGTTCCAATATAGTATATTTTATGTCAGTCGACTAATTGCTTAGTTACCAATCTTTTCCTGCTGGTTTCTGTAGAAATAATGTCACGTATAGTGGGGCCCAACAACTAGTTTTTGCCCCGGGGCCGTGAGGAGTTTAATCCAGCCATGACTATCCCGACAGCCCCGTCCATCTGTCCTGGCTGCTGTCTATAAAACACCACAGGAAACCTCGGGCTGGTTTGCGCATGGTCAGTTCCACCCTTTCCTCTCATCCTTCAGCAGCATCCAGCATCCTCCACGGTCGTCTGATTCCCGCCTGTTCGCGGCGTCGGCACCAGGTAAGACCCCACTGTCAGTCCCGTTACTTGTGCCAATCGACTCTCTTCGTCCTCTCGTCGATATCCGCGGATGATCGATGCTATCGGGGGTGTTTATTCAGATTCAGTGCGGGTGGGAGCTGCTTGTCTGCCTGCCTGGATACTGACTCTATCCCCGGTGTTTCCCTCCGGAGAAATCGGCACTTGTGTCTCTGGTTCGTCGTTTTACTTTGAATAAGATCATCCGCTGGCTCGGGTTCCCCCTCTTCCTGCAGTCCGCGTTATCAGCCGTCAGGTCGGGGTAATGAATAACGTGTCCGTCGGTGTAGTGCTTATCTGTCCCGGCTAATACTGATAGGTGATCATCTCTCCTGCGCACACACAGACGGAGGGTAGTGGTCCAGGTTTTGGCAGTTTGGCGCATCACAAGGTCACAGTGATGGAGACGGTCGGCTCGGTGCACAGCAGAGGGTGAAATGACACCTTGCCCGTGAGCACTGGGGTCCCCGGGGGCCACCGAGGCTTGATGTGATGATAAACAGTAACTGTCAGTGGACTGCTACAGCCTAGAGGTTGGACGACTGCACAAAGTGATAGAGTAATGTTTTTAACGTATAGAAAAGCAAAAACATTGGAGAAAGATGTGTGACACTACACAGGTTTGATGAATGAGACCCGTGTTGAGGACTGTGCTGTAGATTATAGCTGTAAGGCTGCTTTTAATAGAACAGCCTGGTGTGAAACCGATGTGCAGGCGCCTGCATGAGGTTCACGCCCAGGGCTGCAAGGTGTGAACCATGCATGCGAAAGGTGCGAGTTTATGCTAAAATAATGTGAGAAAATGACTTATTCAGACGGCGTGTCACATTTGTCTCGCTGTTTTCAGTAAACTCACACTTTCATTACTCTCCTGCAATACGTGTAGGTGTGTGAGGGGTGGTGTTCAGGGCTGGATCCACCTCCTGAGGGGCCCTGCCACAAATTGGGGCCTTACTGGACCCCACTATACATGGAAGTGTGGTTACAGGCATCCAGAAACCAACCAGTATAATGATTAGTCAAAGTTGGCTGACAAATAAATTAATAGGCATCGCTGACAATGATTTTAATGCAATCTTGGTGCAATATGGTTCAAATTCATACACAGCACAGCTAAGTTATATATATTTTAAGCTGCACATTAACTAACCTCTCCCTCTAATTCCTGACTGTTATAAGTGACGTGAGAACCAAAACAAACTCAAGCAGTATGTATGGTCTGGAGATTACCAACAGTGGCCACAGACGGCAAGAAATAAACACAAGGCCTGAAGATAGAGCAGGGTGGGGGGTTAGTACAGCAGGGGGGGCAACACTTCTAGTCAATTTTTACCAGACCTGTGCTAAATCTTAGTTAATGCAGCTCTAACCTAAGACTCTGAGGGCCCCTGGGGGACTCAGGACCTGCTTTGCTGGTGTTAGACTAAAACAGGGACCTGTTCAGATTTACAATGTGTGATTCTCTACTGGGTTCAACAGGAAGAAGTGAGAGCAATAATGGTGACAAGAGGAGAAAGAATTGGAAATAACTACTAAAGTGAAATGCATGTGATTCAGACGATTTGTCAGTGTGTGTTTGGCGCCTGAGGCCAAACCATCCACGTTAAGACCTGTACTGGTGTGTCTCACAAAGCCTCAGTGGAGGGAGATGTATTGAATTGTTTTACTTTAAAAGAAAGAAGTAAAAGCTAATGTAGTCATAGTACGCAACCTTTACTGGCAACAAAATGCACTTATCTGTTGACTGGCCATTTTATTAGGTACACATGTATGCAATTCAATGCAACACTTCTGTGTTTATGAAGCTCTGAAAGTTTCAGTTTTTGGTGAAACAGTTAAAGGTGGTGGTGTAATGGATTACATTAGATTTAGAGGTGTCTCTATATTTCTGTCCTCCTCATTTCACCAGAAACGGAAACATTTAGAGCTTCAGAAACACAGATGTTAAGCTGGAAATGCTGCATTAAAGTGCATACAACTGTACAGGTGTACCTAATAAAGTGGCCAGGCAGTGAAATGTAAGAGTTACTGTGCAGTATGGCTCCATGCAGGGTCACCGATGAACTACTGAATGGACCTACTGGGCACAGGGGCAGCATTGTGGTAATTTCATGTCACAGAGACAAGAGTTGTAAAACTCAAAGAGAAACTGAACAATCACAGTGATTCAAACTGATTTATTTACGTTTTCACGTGATTTATTTCCCTTTGTCCCTTCATTCACTACTTTTTTTTGTTATTCAGAGACGATAATGCTGAGACAAGGGACCGTGAAGACATGAGAACATTGACCAAGTTTAGATGGAGTCCTCTTTCAATGCCGTAGAGCTCCGGGAGCTGCGGAGCGGAGGAGGCCGACGAGGCGCGTCTCCCACGACGGCCACAGCGGGCTCCGCCACCCGGGGCTTCGAGAACGCGTCCTACCAGCAGGACGAGGAGCAAAACCAACACCACCAGCAGGGGGCGACTGTCTTGGCGAGCTGCCTGCCATCAACTTCAGGAAATACCAAGGTAAATGTTTTTTGGTTTGGTTATTACTTTTTATTTTATCACCGAAGTTTACTTCACTCCGGTCGTCTGTTTCGTCCATCAGCCCCCTCCGTGCTCGTGATTCGTTCCGGTAGCGTTCCCTTCGCACATCTTCGGAGAAAAGGACAAACGGTTGTTTCTTACCTGTTATGCAGCAGTCGGTTGTATCTTCAAAAGATTTCTGTTTATCTGACGTAATAACACTTTTGTCCGGGACTAAATTAACATTTTAATCGACCAATTTACACTAACTTTACGTAGCTAGTTCCAAGCAGGGCGGAAGAGCTAGCAAAGCTGTTAGCACACAGCTGCTTCAAAATTAGGTAGTCTGAATAAAATTCGGCGGACAAATAATTATTCACTCGAGACTGGAACAATTTAGAAACATAATGGTAGTGAAATACTAAGCTATATCTGGAATTTCAGCCACTGACCTATTAACTAGTTTAATCACGATACGTGGTTGTTGTAGATTAGCTGGTTATTGGCTCAGCTCAGATATAGATCCGGTCACCATATCAACCGCCGCTTCCGGTAACACCTGGTGAAACAAATTTTAAAAAATGAATTCCGACTTATTTATTGGCAGAGGTGTGTGCTTCGTTGATATAATGTTCTCTTCGTTGATACAAAATGACTGAATCGCCTGCTGGTAGCCCGTAACACAGTACAGCTCAACAGCAGCACAAAGGCATCTTCCAGAATAATCAGCGCCTCTTTTAAAGCTGCATTAACTAACTTCTCCCTCTAGTTTTTCATAATAACAAAACCTGAGTGCAAATACAAAGGAGCACTCCTCCAAAGCATGAATATCAGCTTACAAGGAATCTCAAGGTAAACAAAGCAGGATGAAGAGGACAGAGCCAAACTGTGGAGCTAACATCTCCATGCTCTAAAACCCCATATCGATCGATGTCTTCTCTCCACCAGAGTGGTGAATTACAACAAAAGAGGAGTCCATAAAAAAGAAATATCAGAAATGTACAGCTTAGTGGAAGAACACTGAGGCCATTTGAAGAGTGTGGTTACACAGTGAGAGATTACCTCCTGGAAAATGAATCTCAATGATTCAAAGCAAAGGCACATAGCATGCTTTAAAAACAAACACTTTTGTGTCTTGGCTGAAACGTCTGGTGAGATTTCTTGTCTTGTGACATGGTGATGTAGCACCATGTAATGATTTAAAATCAGACAAAACCTTTCACATCTTCCTGCTTCTGTGCTTGTTTTTCTTCATCTTGCTGTTGAATTTATATCAGTAATGGGTTTATTCTTGGAGCAATGCTGCTTTCATGTGTTGTTTTTGTATCCATTTTTGCCTTATTCCTTTCAGAGGGAGCAGCAGCATCAGGAGGTCTCCTCACGGTCGTACGATGAGGAGGAAGGAGGTGGAGGTCAAGAGGAGAGCCAAGACTTCACCGAGTTGAACCTCGCCAATGACCGCTCCGTCGACTACGGCTTCATCTTTGCGTTGGTGTTCCTGGTGAGCGGAATCGTCCTTGTAGTCATTGCCTACACCATCCCCCGAGAGGCCAAAGTGGACCCAGACTCAGTGTCAGCCCGCCAGATGGAGAAGCTGGAGATGTACTATGCCCAGCTGGGCTCCCATCTGGACAAGTGCATCATTGCGGGTCTGGGCCTGCTGACTCTGGGGGGGATGTTCCTGTCTGTGCTGCTCATGGTGTCCATCTGCCGGGGCGAGATGTACCGACGCAGGGCGGCCTTTGTTCGACCCAAGAGGACTTATGGCTCCATCAACCTGAGGATGAAACAGCTGGCGACTGGGGAGGCAGGAGGAGGTGAGGGCGGGGATGGAGGCGAGGAGTTTTTAGTGGAACACGCAGAGACACGGAATAACATACAGCCAGCAACCAGCCGGGAGTCCATATCAGAACCCGAACCAAACAGGCATCCTCTTCCTGCTGCTGCACATGGAGCCAATTAGCTGTGCTTTACTGTTATGCCTTCACCTGAGTGAGCACTTAGCTGCAAAATGGGGATGAAAAAAGGTGCGGATCCACCATTTGTGGTGACAGGAGAAGCACATTTTGAGCACAAGGCTTTCCACTGGAGTGACCCAGCTTTAACCAAGCATTGTGGGATGAACAGGAACAGAGCTTATGGAATATTTATGGGATATTTATTCTAACCGATCATAAGGGATCTATGACTTGGCAAACTGGCCTTGATCCAGTAGAAGAAGAGAGGTAAGCCTATGGCGCTATGGGTGGTAGCACATTCTGAGATGAAAGGTTTAGGTCACAGATTAGAGTCGTAATATTAAATCCTACTACAGTATGCTAATCAGAGTTTTACATTAAAAGCACACGGTGTCCAGCGGCCCTGCAGGTTGGTGGCCACTGTAGAACACGAGAATAATTAACAAAGTCCAGTGTTAACACCCAACTGCCAGGTGACTAAAGGATGTTCAACATTTAAACTTAGCCAAGTTTTACATCCTAAATATCTGACTTGTCATATTGTTGTGAATCTACAGTCACTGGAGCAGTTACTGGTGTGGTGGCAAATGGGAAGCTATCTCTCACATACATAAACAGAGGCTACAGTTTTTAAAGTAATATGTCAAGTAATATTTAACTAAATAACCTTTAACCGAGCTGTAGTAGCTTCTGTCTTCAAGGGAGCATAGTTAATGTAAGACAAACAAGTTTCTGGATTTGTTGCTACTCGCTGACAGATTCAGTGGGAAAGTATGATAACGAGGGAGTGAAAGATTATATTTCTGTGTTCACACCTCCTTGATTTAAAAAATTGCTTAATGCAGCTTTAACCTTTGGCATTTTGAAGTATTTGGCTGAATCAAAAGTACAACAGCTGACTCAGCTTTAACAGTTTTACAGGGACATACAATAAGATGCATTGAGAGGTAAGGAGAGAGGTGGTGAGCTGGAATGAGTCACTGCAGGAGGATTTGTTATCTGTGTTTTTGTACAACACATATGGGATGAAAGAGATTTTGTCACTAGTTGCCATCAAGTTTTTTGACAAAGGAAAAATTGGGCAGTTTCTATCACAGAAACACATCTTCCAGCCTAAATCCATTTTTGAGCAACAGTGTGAGTCCCGTGTATTTGAGCGTGATTCTCAGACAACTGGAGGAGACGTGTCAGAACTAGACATGGAGATCTGTGCCGTGAAGGCGTGAAACCGTGTCACTGATTTCTCACTGTTGGCAGCTGAAAGCCATAAATGCTGCTTTCAGTGAATCCAACATTCCAATGAAATAACATCTGTCTAAACCTCCAATCAGGTCTCATCATCCAAAACAGTTCCTCGTGTTTACTACTCTGCATTTTCTGCTGGCATCACTTTCCACAGTATCACATAGTGGATCTTTGTATCATGGTGCAAGAGCAGCTCCTCCTCCCTCCTTAATCTTATTTACATGCTACGTGCTACAGGCTAATCACTGTTAGCTTGCAGTGACTTTCTGGGTTCAGTTAAGTAAATGCTGAAAGAAAATCTGAAACAGTAAAGGCCATAAATGCTCAGCACTGTTGGACTGAGCTAACATAGCTAAAGAGCCAAGTTCTTCATTAACAACACCAGTGTCTTCTGAGCCTCTGACTGCAGCTCTGTAGTGTGGAGACGGGGCTGGTTTTGATGGGAATGAACCTTTAACGACACAGCGCCTCCTTGTTTGTATCATATGTAAACTGATGTTATTTATGTGATATAAGGATACAATATGCCTTAATGAGTAAACACAGACACTGTAAATTGTGTACAACTATTATTAAGCTAATTTGTCTATGTAGTGAGCAAGTTAGCCGAGGGTAATGTAGCTACAGTGCTCGCTATCTACAGCGCGCGCACACACACACACACACACACACACACACACACACACACACACACACACACACACACACAGATGTCCTCACATGCTGGTGTGTGGCACAGTATTTGTGAGGACATCTCGAGTCTAGCATAAAGCTATTTATTAAAATATGTACCATTTTTATTTCACAGTACAAATATACCATAAAAAATGACATGTAGACATGATGGATGTAAAGGACCAGCAAAAGCTACCGCTCAGAAACCAAATACACAACACAGTATGCAAAATTGGAAAACCTCATCATCACAGTTGGAGTCATTTCTTTCTGTTAGCAGCTTATTAACCTCAGCAGAAGCATAACAACAAAACACAGCTGTTAGGGAAACAACAGCTGGACAATACTGAATATTTAGGTTAATTAAATATCTCATAGGAAAAAATAGAATGTATTTATTGTCCACCCCCCAGCCCAACCCAAATATTATATTGATTTATGTTATGGAAAACAAACAACACCATACATAAAATACACATTTTAGAAACCAGAGTCACTGAAATTTAGGCCTTTTTCACTTAAAAATGCCAAAAATTCCAGATTGGTATCTTGGTTTTTACTTAGGTAGGTGCAGATGAATTTAGGTTATTTGACTCGTAGTTTTAGCTGTAGATTTATTTGATGATTATTTTCTGAATAAATCATTTATTCAGAAAATAGTAAAGAATATGTTATATCTGTACTGAAACAGTCAAAACCCAAAACATATTCAGATTACTATCAATATAATATATAACATGTTGCATTTCTGCTTTATAAATTACTAAAGCAACAGATTATCAAATAATGTACAAATCAGTCTTTTGTTAATTGACGAATTGTTGCAGCTCTAGTAGATATTAAATAGATAAAATGTTAATTAAACTGGCAAGACTGGCACAAGCTTTCTCAAAATATCCTGCAGGAAATTAAGAAATATTTGAATATTATTTAATTTAAGTTGTGAAGATATTTAACAGCTGACAACTGAGTTGTTTATTAAAGATATTTAAAAATATAATCAGGACCAGATATTCTTTACATCTGATATTTCCTGGTGCAGCAGGTTTAAAGACAGCTTGTCTCTGCTGAGGTTTCCTTGAGGAAGAAAAAGCTGCTTCTAAGGAACACGCACATTTATGTGGCCGAGCTTCGAGGCTAAATCTTAGCCTTTTGTGTGGGCACCTGTCAGGACTCGACCCTGTGGAGAAAGTGGTGGATATTTCAGAGCAAAACAACACCACCAGTCGTTTCAGTGAAAACCCATAAAAATAGGCGCTTATGGTCACATGACCAGGTGGTTGCAAAATGTCACGCACTTGATTTAGTTACCCAGACTGATGTACAGTGAGCACTACATCATCTCTTTGTGTAGATGCCCAGTATTCAACTCAAAAATGATCCTCTGATTTCAGTGTGGTTGTGTAGGAGAAATGTGTTTGGAAAAAGAAACAAATTGAAGGTTTACAGAGCGAGAAGAGGTTTGAGAGTGAAGTAGAAGAAACAATGTGAGAGAGGCAGCAGGATACAGCAGAGCCACTGGCCGACGTGAGGAGATTTTCATCTCATCAACGTCAAGTTACTCACCATGAAGCTCGACACTTTGAGCGACACATTCAGGGTCCCCCACTCGCCCCCAGGAGGCCAGGACACAAAGTCAAGTGTAAACAGACAGACACGATTCAGCGTAAGGTTTTAATGAACATGAAAAAGCCCTCTAATGCTGATTCATGTTTAAAGAGAGATTAGGTCTGCTTCACCCTGCAGGTCCTCATTAGTGTGAGAAACTCCACAGCAGCAGAAACAACAACAGAGGGAATGATTGAATAATGAGAAACTCCACAGCAGCAGAAACAACGACAGAGGGAACGATTGTTGTTTCAGGCTGAGCGCAGAGAGCTACAGGAAAAGATGAGTGAAAGGCTTTCTAGAATACGTTCACACACAGATGGACAGAATCAGGTCAGCAGAAAGCAAAGGCTGGAGATGAACTTTGTAGAAAAAGCCTCACTCTTAAAGGGGAGCTCCACCAATTTTCAGGTTTGCACCAGCTGAGTGGGAGAAACTGACAGAGGTCAATCTCCCACCTGGTGAAAAGGACAGAGCTGTCAACTGTCAGGATACTCTCACCTTCTTTTACTCATTGTAGTTTTACTTGATAACTGCTACAAATATTTAACACAACAACAGCAACTAGTTTATAACAGGGTTAGCACTAGAGCTAACGATGCTGGAACAGTGTTATAGAAGTAACACAGAGCAGTACTTCTTTTTAACAGTACATCTCTAACAGTATCAATAAGAGGCATGAGACAAAAGAACTGGGTGAAAATAATTTCTTTGTTTAAAAATGATTTCTTTGTGTATTTGATCATTTTTAATATTTTTCTCTATCATCATAGGTCATTGTGCTCTTTTGTATAACATTCACCTATGACTGAAGCTCTGTTGTGCTGCTGATCTCGTCATGCTGTGTGCTCGCAGTTATTTCCTTCATCAGCATGTTGTGCTGCTGATCTCGTCATGCTGTGTCATTTCCTTCATCAGCATGCACACGTCAGCTGTTACTCTTGTTAATATGCAGATGGAATCAGTAACAACAAGGAAGAGAAAGTGACAAAGAGCCAACGTTTAAGGTCTAAACTTTGTTGCTACCCACATGAGGTGAACGACTTGACCTGACAGTTAAATTCATGAATGGATGTTTACTAGAAGCCAGACTGGACACAGGAAGGACATGCGAGTCTGGAGCCTCTGAAAAGAGCAGAACCAGGTTTCCTGTCCTCTGTGAGAGAATGTCAAGAACAAACACGAGCAGCTCAGCTGGAAATCTGTCTTACTCCGTCGGCAGCGTGATGACCCTGTTACCACAGAAAAAACATCTATTTATATCGAGGACTGTTGATGAGCAGTTCTCGAATAACAGTGAAAGTCCTTGTGAGGACACGACACAGGAAACAGTGTCACGGAGTGTTATACCTGTCTTTGGGAGGGAAATGGAGATGATGCACAGTCAGCCTTTGTGAGAATAAATGACATGAAATTATTTTTTAGTCATCATCTGTAGGTGGACGTTTCCCAAAAGCCAAAGCTTTAACTGACATAAAGCCAAAGACTAAGTTTAGCTGAGTAGTCAGAACTTTAATGGAGGCTAAAAGGAGAAGGACAAAGCAGCCAAATATCTCTGCTATGCTAATGAATGAAATCTCATTTGGCTGTCACACTTGGAGACATACTAGTCCATTAGTGTGGTCGTCAAATCCTAAAGTTATCTTAGCTCCGATTATCACAGGTGTATGTATCTGACATTTTGTAAAAAAAAACAAAAAAAAAACAAAGATTCACTTGAAGTTCAGCATCTCTAAAATATACAGTAGAAAAAGCATTTTGGTGATCTAGCATTGTTTATGAGATACGACAAACAGTGTCACACAACTGTGACTGTTTATACTGTATATTATATTAAGTCAGCAGCTATGGCTTAGTACTGTACATCACGGGTCAGTCCCAGGATGCAGCGCACCGTTTACTACCTGATATCATTGTGAACTAGGGCAACTGTTTCATTATGAGCTCAGCTTTACCTGTTACAGGTGCAGAACAAAGACTTTGACCACTTCGACTGTATCAGATGATTTAAAACCCATTTCCAACACAATGACTT